TTGTATAACAAACTATTTTATATAATAGAAAATTATATTAAAATAATATAATAATAATAATAATAATAATAATAATAATATTTAATAGCATTTTTCGTACGTACGGATGTGCTCAATAAATCGAACGAGCCTTAGGCATCGTCGTTTTACATTTAAAACATCTATTCGTTTGAACTTTTTCGACGACGCTAATATTAACGTTACATATTTGCTTATTTATTTAATATTTTTTTTTGTCTGTTTTCTTCTTTTTTTTTTTTGGTTTCATTTTCACGTTTTTCTCTCTCTCTCACTCTCTCTTTCACACTTATTACATTCTCGCTTTCTCTCAGTTTTCATTTCGCTGTCTTTCGTATTCTAAATATTACAATATCGTATAAATCTTTCGTAGAAAAAAAATCGTTCAAAGGATTTATCTAGCGCACCGTACGATATTACAAACGATTTATAAATGTTTCAAACGCCACGATGTTAAATAGATTATTTCTATGTGTTACTCTCTCTCTCTCTCTCTCTCTCTCACACACTCTCACTCGCATCATTTTATTCATTCACAATTTCGTCGGCGGAGGGTTGATTGGTTTATGCATATTATGTGTTGGATACGCACAAAACCTAGATTCACCTATTCATAAAAATTTCATTTATACTTTTATTCTATATCTTTTTTTGTTTTTCTATCTTACACACATTTATTTTCACGTTAAATCATATTTTTAATCAACGCGAACTTTAATTGTGTATATGTTTGTGTATGTATGTATGTATGTATGTATATATATATATGGATGTATGTATATCGTTCGCGATGCATTTTACGTATATGCATTATTATTTATTAATGTGTATACGTATTATGTATCTTTATTTATGTGTATATTACTATATATATATTTTTCTATATATATATATATATATATAGTACCACACATATCGAGTTTAATCGTCTTATGCGTGCGTGTTATGTATGTATTGTAATATCATATGCGTATGCATGAATACGTGTGATGTGTGTGTGTGTGTATATGTAAAAGTGTAATTAGATTTATAAATACAAGGGGACAATGTCCGATGCAATCTAGGCGAGACACGAAATCGTGCTGTATATGTAATGTTAATGTGTATATGTGTTTCTATATATATATATATATGTATATATATATATATATATATATATATCGGCTGCTACATATGTGATAATATGTCTCGCAAAAAAATTCGTTTAGTTTCGTTTTTTGTGTAATTTTTTTTCTTTTTCTTTTTCTGTTTTTTCTTATTCTTTTTCTTTTTTTTCCTTTTTTTATTTTTCTCTCTCGTACACTGAACAAAAGAAAAAACTAAGGTTCGCCTTCAGCACTATTTTTTTTGTCGCTTTTCTTATTTTTTTTTTTTGTAATTTTCTTTTTTTTATAGAAGAGATGGAAGAAGGAGGAGCCTCGTCAAGAAGAAGAAGAACATGGGTGATAGTAATTGTAAATGGTGAATGGTGAATGGTGTGATGATGGTGTTAATAGTACGTTTCACTAATCGTATTACTCGAAAGCCTTATCGTCATAATCTTAGCAAATATACGACGACATTTTCATAATGTGGAATTTAGATGGATTAAAAAGGGCCTGTAGGGGGTGGGTGGGGTGGGGTGGATGAGTGATACGAAGATGTGCTACAGACATGTCTATTTTTTACGTTTCATCTATTTTTACAAGGTAATAATAATATCACGAAGAAAAGCAAAATGAATAAAAAAATAAAAATA